TCCAAATTTTTATCTTTGATTTTGTCTTCCAAATTTATAACACATGAGCTAAAGTCCTTCAAATTATTTAATGTTTCTAAATCAACAACCCCATTGATTTTATTTGGGTGGTTGGAAATAAATACAGTTTCATCCCTCTTATAATGGTAAGATAATTTCTTCTTATAAAATTCAAAGTCTGATTCTGACAAAGATCTTGTTTGACCTTGTGTAAATAAGGTTTCTCTTAATGCTTGAGAAATTGTTGGCTATATAATTTTTTTTTTAAAAAAAGGTTTATTATTAGTTCATTTAATGAAGAATATAATAACAATTAAAATAGTTTTAATTCTATTATATTTTTGAATAATAATGCTTGTCTATAAATAATTTGAACTTAGCATTATATTCTTCACATTAAGAAAACATAGGATACAAAGCTCCATGTATTTTCCCATAAATAGATTTAAAATGAAACAATTATTAAAAAAAAAATACATTAAAAGTTTGATTGGATGTTTTGGGGATTCTTATAACCACCTTGAAAACTTGTTCTATTCTATTTGTTATAGGAAGTACCGCTTGTGGTATTCTACTTAAGCAACTCATAGTTTATGTTTAAAAAAATTTGTAGGTCGAGAGTAGCAAAAAGAATAATTATAAAAGTTATTAACAAAAAAAAAAACTAAACAAAAAAATTAACCAAAACTGAACAACAAGAAAGAAAGTTATAAGCAAAAAAAATAACTTGCCAAAAAAAAAATTAACTGAAAAAAAAAATTATGGCTAGTAAGTAGTAAAGCTGAGTAAGTAAAAATAATCTTAAGTTGTTAACAAAAAAAACAACTTTGACAAAAAAATTAACTAAAACCGACCACACACACTAGTCAAAATCATTTCATTCAGCACTAATACCATTTGGTTAACATTCAGCTGATTCGGTCATATGATTTGGTAAAATTCAGCTTAAGTTACAAAAATCGATAATCATTTATTATATTACACATAATTTAGCATTATTTTGGCATTAGATCTTTTGTCAAACATTCAGCCGATTTGGTCATGTGATTCAGAAATATTTGGTTTAAGTTACAAAAATCAATAGTAATTTGTTACATCACACATAATTTAGCATTATTTCGGCATTAAGACCTTTCAGTTATAATATTCAGCAAAATTTCAGTCAGACTCAAGATTTGGCAACAAATCGACTATATCTTACTGGTCGAAATCTGCTGAGCTGATTTTTGCGAAAATTATAAAAACATTCTGAGAATAATCGTCCCAAAGAGACAATACAATCATCCCTAAAGAAACAATACATTCGTTCTCAAAAAGACGATAGAAATCATCTCAAAAGAAATGATACAATCATTCCTAGAGGAACGATACATTCATTTCCAAAGGAACGACACAATCGTCTCTAAAGGAATGATAAATTCATTTCCAAAGGAATGATAGAAATCGTCCCAAAAGAAACGAACATTCATTCCCAAAGTGAAGATAAAAATCGTCCCTAAAGGAACGATACAATCATTCCCAAAAGAACAATAGAAATCGTCCCAAAAGGAACGAACATTCATTTCCAAAGTGACGATAAAAATCATCCTAAAGGAATGATAGAAATTGTCTCAAAAGGAATGATAGAAATCATCCCAAAAGATACGATAGAAATCATTCTAAAAGGAACGTAGAATTGTCCCAAAAGGAACAATCAATTATCGTTCTTTCAGAATGATTCATCATCGTTCCTTTAGAATAATTTTTGTTATCATTCTATTGGAATGATGAGTTTTTATCGTTCTTTCAGAATGATTCATCATCATTCCTTTAGAATGATGATTTTTTATCGTTCTTTCAGAATGATTCATCATCATTCCTTTAGAACAATTTTTGTTATTGTTCTATTGGAACGATACATCATCATTCATTTAGAATGATGATCTTTTATTATTCTTTTGAAACTATTCATCATCATTAATTTAGAATAATGATCTTTTATCATTCTATTGGTACGATGATTTTTTATCGTTCTTTCAGAACGATTCATCATCGTTCCTTTAGAATGATTTTTGTTCTCGTTCTATTGGAACGATACATCATCATTCTGAAAGAACAATGTTTTTATCATTTTTAAGGAACGATTTTTTTATCGTTCTTTTGGAATGATAAAATTATTGTTGATTTTGTCATCATTCGTAAGGAACGATAAACTATTATTCCTTTTGAACGATTTTATCATCATTTTTTTGGAACGATCAAAATAATGTTCCTTTTGAACGATTTTATCATCATTTTTTTGGAACGATCAAAATAATGTTCCTTTTGAACGATTTTGTCATCATTCGTAAGAAACAATCAAATTATTGTTCCTTTCAAACGATTTTGTCATCGTTCATAAGAAATGATCAAATTATCATTCCTTTCAAACGATTTTGTCATCGTTCGTAAGGAATGATCAAAATATTGTTCCTTTCAAACAATTTTGTTATCGTTCGTAGGAACGATTAAACTATCGTTCCTTTTGAACGATTTTCTATATTATTTCAATCAGATGATGTAAAATCATCCATTTGTAGCATTTATGATAAATAGTCTAAATTTCGGATTAATTGTATAAAACTGATTAACTTTCGGAATATTCTGAAAAAATTTTTTTCTTTTTTTTTCTTTTTTTTGGAAATTTAACTTTTTCCTTTCTTTTTCTTGTTTTTTTAGGAAATTCTTATTTTGGAATTAAGGTAAGCGAATCGGAAGTGACTTTTGTGGCATTTTCC